ACGGGGTTTCACCATGTTGACCAGGATGGTCTCGATCTCTTGACCTCGTAATCCACCCGCCTCGGCCTCCCAAAGTGCTGGGATTACAGGCGTGAGCCACCGCGCCTGGCCAGAAGTGGAGTTTTAACCTGAGCATTCCATTTGTGCTTGAGACAGAAATGGAAGATTCAGTGCTCCCCCAGCAGGTGAGTTTCAAGGTCTGAAGAAGCGCCTTTCTGCGCACGCCGCCTGGCCTCCAGCACCTGCTTCCTCCTGCGCGCGCTCAGGTGTCGCCCCTCGGAGCAGCAGCCGCCACGACCGCCGCCACCCAGAAAGAAGTCAGAGACCCCGCGAGGTCGCTGCCACCGCCATGCCCAAGAATAAAGGTAAAGGAGGTAAAAATAGACGTAGAGGTAAGAATGAGAACGAATCTGAAAAAAAAGAGAACTGGTATTCAAAGAGGATGGTCAGGAGTATGCTCAGGTAATCAAAATGTTGGGAAATGGACGGCTAGAAGCAATGTGTTTCGATGGTGTAAAGAGGTTATGTCCCATCAGAGGAAAATTGAGAGAAAAGGTTTAGATAAATACCTCCGACATAATATTGGTTTGTCTCCAAGACTACCAGGATAACAAAACTGATGTAATTTTAAAATACAATGCAGATGAAGCTAGAAGTCTGAAGGCATGTGGTGAGCTTCCAGGCATGCTAAAATCAATGAAACTGATACATTTGGTAAGGGAGATGATGGTGAAATTCAGTTCGATGACATTGGAGATGATGATGAAGATTTGATGATATCTAAACTGAACTCAAGATTTTACATTCCATCTTTTCTGAAGATTGTCCTACAATTTGGATTTTGGCCATGATAAAGAAGATTAAAATTTCATTAGCATGATTACAGTTTGTTAAAGTAGGGAAAAAAAAGAAGTGCCTTTCAACAGAAGACTTCTTAAGGAACCGCCATTTCAGCATGGGTGTATTTTTTGAAAGCCTATGCCTTTTTTTCTTTCTTTTTTTGGTTAATTTCAGATATTAGGTTACTTTCTGTGGGAAAGTTTACTTCTCTATTAAAAATAATTTAAAAGTCTTTGATCTAAAAATACTGGGAATGCCTCTCTGCAAAATAGATCTCTGGAAATGTATGTTTTATATTTAGACACTGCCAGCATCTGGAACACCAGGACACTTTCTCATGCACATGTGAAAATAACATTGTCGGCTGGGCACTGTGGCTCACACCCGTAATCCTAGCACTTTGTGAGGCCAAGGCAGGTAGATTGCTTAAGCTCTGGAGTTTGAGACCAGCCTGGACAACAAGGTGGCAGCCTGGGTGGCAGAGCAAGGCTCTGTTTCCAAAAAACCAAAGCAAAACAAAATCTAGACAGTTTGGTTTTTTTTTTTAATTTATTTTGGGTTTTTTTTTAAAGTTGGTTTTGATTTTTGACGTGACCGTTCTGAGGAAGAGAATGCTGCAGTAAAAATCTGACTCTTAATTGGTTAAAATTCAAATGAGCACAGGTCTCAGCTCTCCGATTAATCTCTATTGTGTTTCGGCTGCTACTACTCCAGAAGTTACCGTTTTTTGCAGGGTTTTCTTTTTTTTTTTTTTTTGTCAGACAGAGTCTCACTCTTGTTGCCCAGGCTAGGGTGCAGTGGAGATCTCGGCTTCCTGCAACCTCTACCTCCCAGATTCAAGCGATTCTCCTGCCCTAGCCTCCTGAGTAGCTGGGATTCCAGGCACCCACCACCATGCTTGGCTAATTTTTTTGTATTTTTAATAGAGACAGGGTTTCACCACGTGGGCCAGGCTGATCCTGAACTCCTGACCTTGGGTGATCTGTCCACTTCGGCTTCCCAAAGTGCTAGGATTACAGGCATGAGCCACCGAGCCAGGCCTTGCACTTCCTTTTTTGCAGGAAATTCTGAGTAGTGCGTGTGGTGAGCTGGAGGGCCGGCTCCCCCTTGGGGCATTAGCTTCTTCACCAAGGTTTAAACAGAAGCCTGCCCAATGGGCTGGGCTCCTGGTGGCTCATGCCTTTGTTTGTCCGACTCAGTCTCAAAACAAAACAAACAAACAAACAAACAACAACAATAAAAAGCCTGCCCACTGCTGTAATCTAAACCAAGGGTTTTTTGTTTGTTTGTTTGTTTGTTTTTTTAAACCATGTTGGTCAGGCTGGTCTTGAACTCCCTACCTCAGGTGATCCGCCCGCCTTGGCCTCCAAAGTGCTTGGATTACAAGCGTGAGCCACCACGCCCAGCCTTTTTTTTTTTTTTTTTTTGAGATGGATTCTCGCTCTGTCACCAGGCTGGAGTGGAGTGGCGTCATCTTGGCTCACTGCAACCTCTGCCTACCGGGTTCAAGTGATTCTCCTGCCTCAGCCACCCAACTAGCTGAGACTACAGGTGAGTGACACCACACCCAGCTAATTTTTGTATTTTTAGTAGAGACGGGGTTTCTCTATGTTGGCCAGGATGGTCTCGATCTCTTGACCTCGTGATACTCCCCCCTCGGCCTCCCAAAGTTCAGGGATTACAGGGGTGAGCCACCACACTTGGCCCGGTCCTCTTTCTAAACTGCAGGTGGCATATGAGATGGTGAAGCCAGGCAGAGCACGGGTTCTCGAAGTGTGGTCCTGAGCGAGCAGCCTGGCTGTCACCGGGGACTTGCCAGATGTTAGGGCTCAGAAAACAATACCCCAAAATTTGGTGCCTTGGCATATTGAGTACTTTGGTGTTTTGTTTTTGTATACCATGTTTATGTGTTCAGCTATCTTTAAAAAATGGCAGTGGGGGGCACTATGTTACCTAGGCTGGTCTTGAACTCCTGACCTTAAGCAACCTGAGTAGCTAGAACCGCAGGCACAAGCCATGGCGCCGGGTCATGCTGAGTATTTAGAACTGAGGGACGTTGGAAGAGCCTCAGAAGCAAAGTCTCTCTCTGAACTTTTCCTGTTCTCCCGTCTCCCGTCCCCTTCTCTCTCAAGACAGGCTTTGCCCGGTTTCCCCACCTAGTCTTTTGGTCCAGTTCTACATTTCTACACAGTGGTCCATTCTTCACAGAAGCTAAGCATAAAAATAGACACTTTTTTCTGAGTCTTTCAATCTTCATCTCTGAAGGCTCCTTTGTCAGGTAAAACTTTGATTAGATAAATTTGTTAGCTTTTCTCTTGTTAATCTGCCTTTTGTCATTGGAGTGTCCTCTTGACTCTTACTATCAGGAGGAAAGGGATCACACCCTCTCCGCCCCTACACAGACATGCAAATGTTTGAGTCCCGCGTGTGAATTACTGAAACAGAAATTCTGGGGTGGGACCCAGGAACCTAATTCAACAAGCCTTCCTGGGGATTATTATGCATGCTCAAGTCTGAGAGCCACTGGCAGGGGGAAGGGGAAAGGGAGAGGCAGGTAGGATGCCTTCCAGAGGATATAGGGTTTTGCCATTTCAATAATTCCTTATGGCTGTTCCTCTGCAATAGAATAGCTATGAGAGGCATTCCCAAGTAGGAAACTGTACTAGGAAATCACTGTGCCACCCCCTTTTTGTGCCTACCCCTTAATCAGGTCATTGTTAAGCAGATTTGTCAAATTATTCAAAGCAGATTTGAATAAATGTGTTGCACTGAGGGTTCAGGGGCTTATTTATCTGCGTTTTGGCAGGATTGTGGCTGGAAAGATTCAGATGAGACTTTTTTTTTTTTTTTTATGGAGTCTCGCTCTGTCGCCCAGGCTGGAGTGTAGTGGCGCGATCTTGGCTTGCTGCAACCTCCGCTTTCCATGTTCAAGCAATTCTGCTGCTTCAGTCTCCCTAGTAGCTGGGATTACAGGTGCATGCCATGATACCTGGCCAATTTTTGTATTTTTAGTAGAGACGGGGTTTCACCACGTTGGCCAGGATGGTCTCAAACTCCTGACCTCAGTTGATTCGCCTGCCTCGGCTTCCCAAAGTGCTGGGATTACAGGCATGAGCCACCTCACCTGGCGTCCAGATGTGCCTTCTTTCATCACTTACCTGTACTGTTGTCCTTTTTCACTTTGGAAATGTAAAGCCTTGTATGAAGTATAGATGATGACCTTCTCATTTCCCTGCATGATATCTTTCTTACTTTTGAGATTTGTAATCAGGCAGCCTTTCTTCCTCTCCAGGCTCTGATCTACAAGTTACTGCCCCACTCTGAGCTTTAGCTTCACATTTGTCTCCGTAGCTCAGGGGTTAGAGCGCTGGTCCTGTAAATTTCAGCTTCCTCATTCATAAAATGAGAACTAGAATAATTTCTATCTCATAGTATTAGTTTAAGCATTAAATAATATTTAATACCTTTATCTTAATAGCATATTACTAAATAGTAAAATATTCATTAGCTGGCTGAGGCAGGAGGATCGCTTGTGCCAGGAGTTTAAGGCTGCAATGAGCTATGATTGCACCATCGCACTCCAGCCCGGGTGACAGAGTGAGACTTTGTCTCAAAAAAAAGTAAACATTTAATAAACATGAAGTCATTTTTTTGTTGATATTCATTAATCCTCATATTATCCCTGGGACCCTGGCTTCCTTTCTTTAAATAGATGTCCTTCTTTCCTAAGTCATTGAGAAGACTGAGGCAGTTAATGTGTGATTTTCCTCAGTCACTTCCCCCTCCCATAAAGTAACCTTTAGGGTCGGATCTAAACGCTGAGGGACTCTTTTATCATTCCCTTGCCCTCCTCTATCTCCTCTTCTTTTTTTTCTTTTTAGGGCCAGCTACTCACTTTAGCCTTTAATTCTTTTCTCTCCTGCCTGATCCAGAGACCTTTTCTTCCTTGCATTCTTAAGCTATAAACTTGTTCAAGTCTGTTGTAATAAAACATAATAACAGGCCAGGCACAGTGGTTCCTGCCTGTAATTGCACACTTTGGGAAGCCGAGGCAGGAGGATCACCTGAGGTTGGGAGTTCAAGACCAGCCTGATTGGCTGGGCGCGGTGGCTCAAGCCTGTAATCCCAGCACTTTGGGAGGCTGAGGCGGGTGGTCAAGAGATCAAGACCATCCTGGTCAACATGGTGAAACCCCGTCTCTACTAAAAATACAAAAACATTAGCTGGGCATGGTGGCGCCTGCCTGTAATTCCAGCTACTGAGGAGGTTGAGGCAGGAGAATTGCCTGAACCCAGGAGGCGGAGGTTGCGGTGA